TTTAAAAAAAAAAAAAAAAAAAAAAAAAAAAAGAAAAAAAAGTCCCATTTGAGTCCGTAAGGTTAACTTTTTATTAATTATTTAACAATACCTTACAAAATTAACTTTTTATTAATTATTTATAATCCACATTCGAACTTTTAATTTTATCCATTAACCTTAAATTCATGAAATAATGCAACCAAACACTTCAATTACATAACTCAAACTCTATTAGCAATTGAGTTTAATGAAAATAATTATACAAGTTTAAGGGTGCAATAGTTTAATTGAATTAATTCTTATAATTCACATATAGTGTGCAATAATTCCTTTAATTTGGATGAATCATTGATTATTCAAAGGTGAATTTGCATCATACAATAATAATAATAATAAATGTTAAATTTGTGCGAGAAAATATCAATTACCACCCAAAAAATCGAAAAAATAAAAACTAAATTGGAAATTAGCCTATACATAAAGTACCCAATTTGTAATTCAACTTTCTTTTTTCTTTTAAATATCAATCCGAACAAAATATATGATGAAACAACAGCAACTAAACAGCTCAATAGATTATTAAGCTAAAAAATGAATTCAGTTCCAAAGGGAAGGAAAAAGAATCTCAGAAAGTATTAGTAAATATGTGCCTAGAAACGATAATAGATAGACTTTTCTAATCCAGTAATATGTGCCCAGGATCACAAAACTTGCTGGTTAAAGTTGGAAAGAAAAACAGAAACCAAACACAATATTTTAGGCCACCCCTACGGTTCTAATGTTTCTATACTGATAAAAACAAGTAGAGAAAATAAATGAACACTAGTTGGAGTTGTACCATGTTGTCAAGGCATGGGAAGGAAATCGAACCGAGTTGAGAAAATGGCAGTATAAAACAAACAAAAATCAGTACATCGCCCTCCAATCTTCACCGGCGTAAACTGCTTGATCTCCGAGCTCTTCTTCAATACGGAGCAACTGCATTAACCTCGGGACTATTAGTAGCATTTCTACGTTGACTAAAACGAAATTGTGATCTTGTTATTTTGTAAAATGGGATCGGACAGTCTACTTGCTTTTAATAATCAGGTAAGGCAATGTAATATGAAAAAACTGTCATCCTTGCAAAGGGTCATGCTCATTTTCTTTACATTGTTCCAATTTGATCGGATGTCCCCAAAAGAATAGTAAGTTGTTTATAGTTAACACCACCCCTTTCACTAGCTTCTATGTGACATAAAAACGACAAAAATTAGGCTAGGCAAATGTTCAAGAAATTAGACCTGATTATATTTGGCAAGACGTTCTCCTCTGCACGGAGCACCCGCTTTGATCTGACCTGTGGAAAGTCCAACAGATAAATCAGCTAGGAATGTATCGTCTGTTTCACCGCATCTGTGAGACGCCACAACTGCCCATTGTGCATCCTTGGCAAGGTTTACGACTTCAATGGCTTCTGTCACTGTGCCAATCTGATTTACCTACAATTTTGTCCCATGAAATTATCAAATTTTGAAAGCCAAATTGGGGGACTTACACTACAGAATAGAAAGTAAACAACTTTTTCAGCATAATTTCTATCAAATCAGACTTCACTGTACAACGATGCATTTTGCACCAAAGTACACTTGCAAAAGGTCAGTTGGTGTTTATTTCCAATTCTCCATAGCCTCGAAGGATTAATGGTGTTATGAACAGTACCAACAGGAGAATATTCCACAGTATGTCCAAAAGAAGACAAAGAAATGTTACATTTATATATAATAAAAATATAAAATAGTGATTTGTACCTTGAGGAGGAGGGCATTACAAGTGGTCTCATCAATTGCCCTCTCAATTCGCTTTTTGTTTGACATTAACAAATCACCTCCCACTACCTACAGAAAACTAAAATCATTAAAGAAGCATTGAGCGGTTAAAAAGAGGGAAAAACGCTTCCGTATCCAGAAGGTCAAGAAAACATTTAACTTGTATAAATCATAAACGATCGTGTCTTTTTCTCCAGTAAGAAAGACATCAAGAAGCCTCCTGAATTGCTACAAGAGGCAAAGCAATCAAGTTATGTTATTCTTTGACAGTTTGGTCAACTTTATCCTACAAATTTGCTAGTTATTTCTTTGATGTTAAAAAGGGCAATCAAATTGACATTCTACAAGATCATCATGCTTGAAATCAAGGACGATAATCTGACACAATAGTAACATACATAGTCAGACATGAAACTAGGGACATAGTGACATTCTAAATTTACAAGTGGTGTCAGGGAATCTTAACTCACAACCTCTTGTGACAGATGATACAAATATCTTTTAACTATTAGGTCCAACCCTAGACCCCGGATCTTTAACCACAATCTCCAGTCCTTTTAAGTTAAAATAAATATTCTAACAATGTAAACACTTTGTATATAATTATTCCGGACATTACTCAGGAGAAGCATGAGGAGAAACCTGACAAATTCCAAGGCCAGAAAAATGTTTGGTGTGATCCCAGTCCTCCCGGTCAAATGGATCCTCAATTGATACAATTGGATAGTCTAAAAACATGAGAACATAAATATTAACCCATTGTTGAAAACAAGCAACAAAAATGCATAATGATTGAGCAGAACAAGAGATATATATACCATCACATAGTTCTTTGTACATATCTATCATATCCTTCCCTGACTTGAAATTTTGACCTAACTTGTTTGGAGCTTTGAAGTCAAGATCATATTTGGTACCTACAGTGAATGAGAAAAAAAGTAATTTAACGGTAAGTTTTGCTGCAGGAAAGGAAACATTTATTTCATGTGAGTAGATTAACGGGTTTTCCTTATGGAGACCATCTGTAAGGAAAATAACTGGAGAAAGGGTGATGAACGTGGATTATCAGCAAGTAGTACGAATCCAATAAATCATTTTTTGATCCATTCTTCCAGTTTTTCATATCCTACTGTTCAAATAGGCTATTATTTAGGAAACTTGTTTCTCTCACCCATGCAGAAATTAGTTGCAGCAATATCTATTGCTATCTTGATTCTCTCGTTATACCCAGTTCTGCCAATAGCCTCTTGTACAAGATCCAGAGCTTCTGTAAAACTGTTGATAGAATACAACTCATTAAAAACATGTTTCTGGATCAAGTGCTGTGTCAAGGACTCAGACAAGCAGCCAATAACTGTAAAAGTAAATGTAGTATGCAGGGTTCGCCAAACTTGTAATCTATCCTTCTCATGCTAGAATGTTCTTCTTGATGGCTAGGGAAAAAAAAAGCTCCACAGATCCATATGAACAAACCAAGAAATTTTGGAACTTGTATCTTGCCTGGATATATTTGGGGCGAATCCACCATCTTCACCAAAATTACATCCATGGGCACCATGCTTTTCAGAAATTACAGCCTGCCATTTTTTCCAAGGAAATTACATTTTTAGTAATATATGACATAATTAACAATGTCGCTTCCAAATAGAACAAACTTTGTTAGTTAAGTTCGAAAAAGCAAAGACCCACAGGAAAATAGAATGACATTATTCATAAGTAGAATGATAAGTGATTAAACCATGCACAACTTCGCAAAAATGTTAGTCTATGATTTTGGCATTTTCAACACACTTGGTAAGCTATAATAACTCTTAAGGAACATAACACAGGACAACAATAATAGAGCATGCCAAGAGGCAGAGAGTGCCTTAAGGTTCTGGACAAGTATATGGACGACTATGAATCACTAAACTTAGTGCTATGCATGTGATATGCTATGAGAAGAAGAATTTAAAAACTAAAATATAAGATTAAGATATACTTTTGATACTTGGATCCTTCAATGAGGTGTAATACTTAGAAAATACACACACACACACACACACAAGACAAAAAAAAAAGAAGACACGTACTTCCTCACAAATTGTGAAATTAAAATAGTAATACATTCTATTTGATAATATAGATATACATATGAGTATCATGGATGATCGTGCACAGAAATAAGAAGAAGAAGAAGAAGAAGATTTTTCTCTACAAGATATTTGAACTGGTATTTTCACCATGTAATACACTTAAATTTATAAATAAGCATAATTGAATGCATTGACGATGAATTAAAACTCCATTCAACGGTTGTGGTGAATAAAATCACACCTTTAAGTGATGGAAAGTTTCAGAGCCCATTTTTAATGCCTCTTCAAACTTGCTAGCTCCAATTGGAAGAATCATGATTTCCTGATTACAATACCAGTCAATCTAAAATAATAGACCCAGCATACAACATTTGGAATCCTTCTAAATCAATAGAAACTATCATAGTCATAAGCCACAACGGCTTCCATCTATATCATTGTGTATAGATTGATTTACTAGACTGAAGGATTACATTCAGAGTCAATGGTTTCTTAGATAGATTATTTGCTGCATGCGGTAAAAAAAAACACTCTAGTCATCTAACAAAAAAAAAAAAGAAAAGAAAAAAAACGATCACAACTGCTTTGAATCCTTACCACAGCATACCTGAATGGCCAGATTATTGCCAGCATGTTTTCCTCCACTAATTACAGTGAAGGCTGGGACAGGAAGTATCAAGTTTGTTTTGCCAGCAAGATCTGCAATATGCTTATAGAGTGGAACCTGAAAATACTTGGTTTAAATATCTTTGCACAGAATTGTAGAAATGCCCCATAAACAGAAAAAACAATTCCATGTAACAGAGGTGAATAAAAAGCATGCCTCCTTTTCAGCAGCACCAGCTCTGCATACTGCAATTGACACGGCAAGTATAGCATTTGCTCCAAGTTCACCCTGCAGTGTGTATTGACTAAGAAACATACTAACTTAAAAGGTATCACTATTGATGCCTTTGAAAATAAACTACTTTCCAAAGTAACTATCCAATGTAAATATTTTCTAATCATAAACAATCTATTATATAGACAGACAGACACATTATCATAAAGTCCTAATGACATATCCAAAATAGCAAAGATAGGAATAACAAGTAACGAAAAACTATTATGTCGTATTTCAAACGAAAAGGGTAGCATTGATCCGTGTGACTCTAAATCAATATATATGCAAAGTTTTTCTTCTTTCATATTGAGTTGAGAATCTGAGATATCAGTGTAGAAAATCTTCCAGGCAGGCTGAAATTTAAATTTATGACAAAACAAAGTAAACTATGATACATATGCTCGTGATAAATAATTCAGCATAATAAATAATTCCTCCTGCCTCCTAATAGACAGTGTCCTATAGGATATTAAGTAAATTCAATCTTCCCCATCCATTAACATTGCAATTGTACCAGCGAGTACCAGATATAGTAGAGCACAGTAATAATACAGAAGATGGCATACAAGTTACACTCCCATAAAATTTGTGAACTCAGGACAAAGAGATGTTATTGGCACCTTTTTTTCTGTCGTATCCAAATTTTTCATGGCCTGGTCAATTTCATATTGTTGAGTAGGATCCCTACCAATCAATGCTTCAGATATCTTGTCGTTGATATTTTTTACTGCTTTAGTAACACTATTTCCAAGGTATGTTCCCTTATCTCCATCACGCAAGTCTACAGCCTCATACCTAGGAAAAGCAACCCCGTCTTAAAATCCAATTGGAAAAAGAAAATGTATAGGAACTCAACAGGCATGAGGAAAACCATGCTTTGAAATTGAAAATGACAGCCAAACGTTTCGCAAATCATTCTCTAACAAAAAATTTTGCCAATGAAGATTATTATATTCTTCCCACTTCAAGTCTATTCATCTCCCGGGAACCTTACATGCCAGCCGGATCGCCGCTGGGAACGGACGCGTTGAACACTCCTTTGTTGGTGTGTAAATCGACTTCAACAGTCGGAATTCCTCTACTGTCAAGGATCTGCCGAGCTTTAATTTTTGTAATCAATGAAGGAACCGCTTTCTTCATATGATTTGACTGTTCGAAACAAAAAAAAAAAAAAAAAAAAAAAA